GGTAGGGTGCTGGCCCCATATACCGAGGGTGGAGGGTTCATCGAACCTGGCCCCAGCCAAACTGCAACAAAAAAAATAGCCAGGCATTCTGGCAGGTGCCCAGTCCCAGCTACTCAGGAGGCTGAAGAAAGGGAATCACAAAAGCCCAGGAGTTGGAAGTTGCTATGAGCTATGACATTACAGTACTCTACAGAGGGTGATAAAGTGAGACTCTGTCTCTAAAAAAATATGATGAAGTCCTCCTCCCCTGAAAGCTTTCCAAAATTAGGTTAATCAAAAATAGTAGGATGGACCAACTATCATTGAATACATGCAAGTAAAGACTAATAATGGGATAACTTTCAACTCAGTCAACTCAGTGTGTTAAATGCTGAACTCCCTGAACTGTATAGAAGGAACCAACTTCCCATGAGAAAACATCCCCAATGCCTCCTGGAACACAGCCCTGTCTCAAGCTCACTTTTAAGTAGCTCCCTAGGTTTTTTTTTTTTTTTCTGCTAAGGCACTGAAACCTGGCCTGTGTCTCCTTTCAAAAGCAAGCCTTCAGGAGAGATCTCTCTGTCTTTCTGACCCACCTCTGACCTCCTGATAAGCTTACCTAAAATCTTTGGTTTGCATACTAGCCCTTTCTAATCTCTTGAATAGCTGCTTTCATATTCTTTGCACTTAATTTCAAGTAACAGTATTACACAACTAAACTGTAGTGCAGCAGTATGAGGGCAAGAAAAGATACAGTTGTGGGTGAGAAAGTCAGTGATGATATTAATGTAGCTAGAGGCATAGAATGGTGAAGTCAGGAGGGTGACACGAAGAGCTGAGAGAGGCCAGGCAGGATGGCTCACACCTGGAATCCCAGCACTCTGGGAGGCTGAGGCAGGTGGATCACATGAGCGCGAGAGTTCCAGATCAGCCCCAGCAAGAGCCAGACCCTGTCTCTGCTAAAAATAGGAAAAGAAAGAAAAAAATCCTAGCTGTGTGTGGTGGCAGATGCCTGTAATCCCAGCTACTCAGGAGGCGGAGGCAAGAGGATCGCTTGAGTGCAAGACTTTGAGGTTGCTGTGAGCACTCTACCTGGCGTAACAGAGGGAGACTATCTCAAAAAGAAAAACAGAAAGAGAATTCAGAAAGAAAATAAGGAAAGGGGGAAGCGCCTGTGGCTCAAAGAAGTAAGGCGATGGCTCCATATGCTGAAGGTGGTGGGTTCAAAACTGAAAAAAATAAAATAAAATAAAATAAGGAAAGGAAGAAAGCAGGGAGCGAAGAGGGTGAGCATGCATTTTAGGAGATGAATATAGCATATATAGCCAAGTTGAATGAAAAGAAATGGAGCTGAATTTCTGATAGGTTCTTGGCCTAGTTTCTTTAAACCTTGTCCAACTTACCAAGCCATTCCTTCCTATTGGTTTCATAAAACTGGTATGGTTAGATCACTGTTTCCCAGGCTTCAGTAGTTCTCATACCATCTTGATGATTTCTGTCATATCCACCTTCCCTGAGTACTAGTCATTACTTACTTAAGGTTATACATTAAAGTAAATTTAAGTTGACCCTAAAAAATAGTTAGGAGAGTATTTGGGGACATGTTGGCTAAAGGATACAAGGTTTCATTTAGGAAGAATAAATTCTGGACATGTGTTTTATAGTATGGTAACTACAGTTAATAATGTACTGTATACAGTTGCCCCTTGAACAACATGGATTTGAACTGTGCAGGTTCATTTACAAACAAATTTTTTTCAACCAAATGTGAGATATGAAACTCACATATAGACAGACCCCAATTTTTATAATTGTAGGTTCTGCAAGGTTGCCGGTAAGACTTGAGTATGCGTTGATTTTGGTATATGTGGAAGGTCCTGGAACTGTTCCCTGCATATACCAAGGGAAAAAGATATTTGAAAATTACCAAGAGTAGATCTTAAATGATCTTACCCTCAAAAATGATAAAAATTTCACAGTGTATACATATATCAAAGCACCACATTGTATATAGTAAATATACATCAAATGTACCTTAATAAGATTGAGGGTAAAAATAAAATATTTGACTTCAAAAACATTATTTAAAAAAAGAAAAAATGTATCCAAATCCAAGTTGATATTTCATATGTTTATACTAATTCTGAATAAAAGCAATTCATATATATAATTTTTTTTTTTTGAGACAGCCTTACTATGTACGTTGCCCTCAGTAGAGTGCTGAGGTGTCCCAGCTCACAGCAACCTCAAAGTCTTAGGCTTAAGTGATTTTCTTGTCTCAGCCTCCTAAGTAGCTGGAACTACAGGTGCCTGCCACAAGGCCCACCTATATTTTTGTTGCAGTTGTCATTGTTGTTTAGCTGGCCTGGGCCGGGTTGGAGCCACCAACCTCGGTGCATGTGGCTGGTGCTGTAATCACTGTGCTATGGGTACTAAGCCAATATATAAAAAGTTTTAAACAAATGTCAAGTTGGAATCATATTTGATGTGCTACATATATACACATTTTAAAAATATACGTTGTAATATATGTCCACTTGACAAAATAAGCAAAAATGTTCATCTGTGTACCACCTAAAATAATATTGGGAACTTTTATGCTCATGGATGGTGCACTGTTTAAACTCTTGATTTGAGGCAAGGTCTTGGAGAATCTGAAATGCAGCCAACCTTCCTTAAAATAATTTCCCTTTCCGTTAGCAGTGGTTCACAACAATCCTAATGCCACAGCCCTTTCATACAGTTCCTGTGGGTCACGACCCACAGGTTGAGAACTGCCACATTAGAGCATAATGGTAAGTTTTAGAAACGTAGCCCTTTGTACACAATATACATGCAGATATCTGGAAGATCTAAGCAATGCAAAATTATACCTAAGTTTGGGTTATATTAAGATTAGGATTACCTGGAAGGGGTCATCAGTCAAATGATTTCCCAATACCGTCATATTTGCTGCTGTTTCCAGCCTTCTTTCTACTTCTGTTTAAAGTGGTCTACAGCAACTTTGTGATTGAATGTAAAAGCAATTATACTTTTACCTTTTCCTGTGGTCCTTTTCTTAAATTTTTACCTTTTTCTGTGGTCCTTTTCTTAAATTTTTTTACCTTTTCCTGTGGTCCTTTTCTTAAATTTTTTTTAATTATGGAGGTGGAGATTTTCTTCTAGCTGGGGAACTCCAGAGCTACTTGGAATGAAGCACTTGAGGAAGGATGTATAATGACACAGTGATTCCACACTTCCACTCTTGTCCTCTCCAAACTTGCATCCCAGGAAGTGTAGTAACAGAATAATAGCTCCCCTCTCCCAAAGATATTCATGTTGTAAACCCTGCAGACTGTGAATATGTTATGTTTCAGGGCAGTGAAATGGCAAAGAGGATTATGTTTGCTAATCAACTAATCTTAACATAGGGAGATTATCTGGGATTACCTGGGCGGACCCAGTGAAATCACAAAGGTCTTAGAAGTACAAAAGGAGGCTGGAAAGATGAGTGTGGTTTGATGTGAGGACTTAACACACTATTACTGGCTTTGAAGATGAAGGGGGCTATGATCCGAGGAATGAGGACAACCTCCTGAAGCTGGAAGGCAAGGATTCTCTCTCCCCTGGAGCCTCCAGAAATGAATGCAGCTTGGCCAACACCTTGAAATAGGCCCAGTAGCAGCCATTTTGGAATTTTGACCTCTAAGATAAATTTTGTGTTATTTTAAGCCACCACGTTCGTGTTAATTTACTACAGCAGCACAGAAAACAAAACAAATAAAGTTTATCTTCTCTCTTGGCTTTATATTCTGCATATTCATATTTAACAAAGGCACTTGAACTACTCAAGGCAAATTTGGAATCCTCCTCTCTTATTAAAATAACTAATTCCTAATTAGTTAGTCACACATTATTCTTGCACCCAATGATTACTGATGTCAGTGACAAGTTACCATTTTCTTGTAAGAAATGAACAAAATGCTTCTAATGTTCTCCAATTATAAGAAAAAATAAAGGAGCATTTGGCAGAATCAATAAGTGTTTGTTTTAAGTATTTTTTTGAAGGCCACAGATTTAAATCAGTGCTCTGCCATTTACTAGCTGTGGTTATCTGGGAAAATAAAGCTCTCTAAGCCTGTGTTTCATCATCCACAAAAAAGGAAATAAAAATAGCATCTATACAATAGGTTTTGGGGACAGGATTTTACCAGATAATCTGTGTGAAGTTCTTAGTATGGCATCTGGTACCTACATAAGTGCATCACCTAATGGTTTTCGCTGTTATTGGTCCATTATCTTTCTTATTGCAAGAATTTCTCTAACAAAAAGTACTGTTTTCACATCCCTTACTGTGTGGTGACCTGCAAGCTTAATAAACTATGGCTTCTTTTTCAATGCCCATTTCTAAAGATAGCAGTAGGCCATTCTCAAAATAGCACCTCCCTTACCAATATTTGGCCTTGAGTCAATATTTCTTTTAATTATTAAATATTTATTCACTAAAATATATTTTTTAAAAAGAGAGAGGGTAAGACAATGGCCTAACTACAGATCATAATTAAACTTTGTCTCCCTAGGGAGGGGCAAGGTGAATTCTTAGCTCAGAACCAAGAACGCTACTCCTGGGCAGCGAATCCGCATCAAAGAGGCAGCTCCGGACCCTCTGCAGCGCGCGAGGTATTTTGTCTGTCCCCGGACGGCGCCAGGTGAGCGCTGGCCGGGTCCGGAGGACTCGCTGCGCCCTGCGAGCTGCCTGAGCAGCCACTGCAGGTTGCTAAGCTTCGCCCCCGGGGTCCCCGCGCCTTCCGGGCCTCCCGCCGGTGCGCGCCCCGGGATCCCGAGCGAGAGGAAGCGCTGGGTCTAATCGATCCAACTTGTGGGGCATTAGCCGAGCTCCTGCAGCCCTTCCGAGTGTCCCCCCCGCGCGCCTTCCCGCATCTCGCCTACCACGGGCTCCGGAAGGGAAGGAGGCGTGTCCGGAGCAGGCGGGCGGGAGCTGTATAAAAGCGCTGGCGGCGCGGCTGCCGGGGCTTCACTCGCCGCCTCGCGCCGGGACCGGGAGCGCCGCGGAGAGCGCCGACTGTGGAGAGAGCGCTGCGCACGGGCTACCCAATGCATGGACTATCTGCCGCCGCTGCTCGTGCAATATGCTGGAGCTCCAGAACAGCTAAACGGAGTCGCCACACCGCTGCCTGGGCTGGATCGCAGCGCTGCCTTTCCTTATGAAGAAGACACAAGTGAGTAGGACGCGCTTGGGGAGCTTGCAGGCTCTCCAAGAAAATCGCGCCTGGAGCCCTGGGGAGGCCGGCGCGTCCCGGGACCGGCAGCCGGGGCGTTCGGGGCTGTGCCCGCCCGGGGAGCCAAGAGGGTGCGGGGGAGGCGGCGTCGAGTGCTAGCGGGAGCCGTGCGGCCGGGTGAGCCGGGGAGAGGAGGAGTGGGAGTGAGGCGAGGGAGCCCGTGTCAAGTTTGCAGGCGCAGCAGTTAAGTTTGGAGCTGTCAGTCAAAAACCGCATTTCCAGTCTGATGGAAAGATTGACTCTTTGGCTGGGGAGTTTAAGTTATCCCGGAAAGGCATGTCTTTGCAGGGGAGACGTTTTCCCGTGCAGTCGGGACGTTATGAAACAGCTCCCCACGCGCCACCCTCGCTCACTCTGGCGCTCAGATTTATTTGTGCAGCCCCGAGGTGGGCGCTGGGCGCGGAGCGGACGCTGGTGCAGCCGCAGGAGCGAAGCCAACCGGAGCTCCGAAGCTGCAGCTCCCAGCCGGGTGGGGAGCACGCCCGGCCGCAGGGAAACTTGGCTCCCCACAGCGTCTGCCTAGTTTGGGGCTCTGGGCGGGCCATCCCGGGAACTCTGGAGACCTCCACTGGGCACGCACAGTGCATGCTCCGTCTTCTACTATAAAAAACGCTTTTTGGGGGGAAAAATAGGCACCTCTAATGATAGTTATTGAGATAATTCCTGGTGCTGCTAAATTGTGCACCGCCCAAGGGCACAATTAGAATTTCCCCCCCTTGAAACAAAGATCTGGTTCGTCGTTTGGCAAGGGCAACCACGGTGGCCCCACCCACAGCTTTTTGCCCCCCACCACTGACGGTTCTTAGCTCTTGTCACCTCTCCCCTTAGGAAGTATTCTGTGTTAGCTGCCTCACGTTGAGTAAGGCTGCCCTTTCACCCCCCAGAGGCGCTCTCGGAGATTGCAATTCCTGAAATGAAGGGGTGGGAGAAAAGGAATAAAAAGACATCAATGTGACGGAAATGCTTTATTAAATGACCTGCTTAGTATTATAGTTTAGATAAAGATCTAGTCCTGAATGTGTGCAAACGAGGAAGAAAATATTCCAGCTCGTCACACCTCTGTGGAAAAAGGCAGGGGGAAGGGACCCTGCCTGGCTACAAGGGTTGTGTAGTTCCCAGAGCTCTCTAAGAGTGCAGTGCCCTTGCTTGCAAGCAGGTTAGTTCTCAGCTGAAGCTCTGAGCACCACACCTGGGCTCACCACAGTGTGCTGTTGAAATGCAGATGGTAGATTCTGCAACAAAAGACAGTTTTTTATTGTCGTAGGGTGATTAGTGCAAGCTTTCTGCTTTAAAGAAGATTGCACCGGGATAAGAAGCCTTCCTTTTTTATCTGCTCCCAGGAATGGTAGCGGTGAGATCTGGGTGGAAGAATCTCTACCTTCTAGTTCAGGAAAAGAACCTAACCTTTCTATTTAAACAAGAACACAGAAGACAGATCAGGTTAATGTCCAACACTCCAAAGCAGGGATGTGTGGGGGTGGGGGGGTGTACTATCAAGTCACTTTGAGAATCGGTAGGATTGATGATCCTTGCACCCTTGCTTTACAAAACAAATGTGAGCTCTGTAATCGCCTTTCTCGCTTTGATTAAATGGCTGTGTAAATCGGATTACATGGAATAATTCCATTGAAAACTAGAAAGAGGTCAATCTAGCCTGGAACATTGTGGCTGAGGCATTGGTGACTCAGTGCCGCCGACCAGAGACATTTGAGACAGCTAAGTATTTTAGAAATGTGACCTGTTTGGGACCAAGTTAAAGTGCAGGCCCTTTGGGGGAACTTGCTTGATGTTAGAGGGCTTGCAGGCAAGGAAGGGCAGTGCCTTTGTTGAATGAAGGCATTCATTCCCTGGGATCTACTGACCTTCAAGGTTCCCCCTTAAGGATACTTCTAACAATTCCACATTCCTGTCAGTGCAAAATGGGACACTGGAAATAGCGCAGAGTCGATCACATAATCTGCTGAAATGGAGGAGGGTATTAGATCCTTTTTCATATTGTCAAATTTTCTAATCCAGAAGTTACAGGAAAATTTTTATGCACCACTCCATGGAGGGAGAGTAGCACTGAGTAAACTGGGCATTAAGAAGTAATGCCTAGTTGTGTTCTGAATCTTTTGTTATCCTTGTGAAGGAGGAATATCTTAATATTCAGTAGTTTAAATAATTGTTTATAAATGGCCTCAAAACCAGAGTTCTATTATAAGGCAGCTGGTTCTGTACTCTGCCAATACCCAGTATATAAAGAGAGAATTTAATAATATTTTTAAAAAGGACTTTAATATGAATTACATAGCTCTCCAAGAATCACAGAGACATCAGGCATGCTGGCCTGTCAGTCAAGTTCAATAAGTGTGAAAATTCCGTCAACATCTACTTGAGGCTTGATGAATGATTCTTTCATTTATTTAGCACAAGGGACAAACTTCAGTATTTGGAAAATGACACAGGCGATAGTCTTGAGGAGCAATTGTAATAATAAATTTAATCACAAGTCTACAGGAATGAATTTACACTTTTTCGATTCCTGTTTGATTATATTAAATAACAATTGGAGTGTGATTTTGCAATGCTGATTTAAGATTTGGCTGAAAGTGTCAATAACTTAAAGGGCCAGGTGTCATGTTTATCCATGTTACACTTACATTTTAGTTTGGGGCTGGTTTGTGAGAGTTGCAGGACTGCTGTCAGTTTCAGAAATACTGAGTTGGAAAGATTCATCTTACACACGAGGCAGAAAAGGCCATTGCAGGCACACCAACTCTCAGAGAGGAAGCACACAGAATGTTAGTTTTTGCTACACCAATGAAAATATCCGTTTGTTTTTTTTTTTTTTTGTCTGTATGAAGTTTGTCCTGTGGGTGACAATGCAAGTTTACTTTATAGAAAAAAATTAACATATTTCTGAAAAGAGCATTTTTTAATCTTGTTTTTAAGATCACTCAGTTTGGAATGTGTGCTTTGAGTAATTCTAATTTATGGAGCTTTTAATTGATACATTCTGCCAAGACTTTAAAACCCAAGTGTTAAGTCGATTACATTTAACATAAAACAAGGAAAGTAACCATATGGAAATCTGAAGTCTGGGCCAAACCAATTAAAATTGCTTAATTTTATTTATATATAGCTGCTGATTCGAAGATAGAAAATTGTGAGTAATACTTGTATTTTAATAATAGGTGATTGAAATTTTTCTACCATCATAAATCACACACAAAAAAATCCTATTGGAGGTTTCTTGCACAAATTGGTGAATCTCGCTGCCTGTGCTCTTTGCTTTTTAATGCCTGAGGAACACCTAAAATATGGGTGGGGGAGGATTCTAGGCGCTCTCCTCCAAAGATTTACATTCTGATTCCTGTTTTACCCCTTGTGGGACAAATGACTTTAGACAAATGGTTAAACTTTTTTGGAATTTCCAGTTTGTAACCTGTATGATGATTATAAATCAGTTATGAAGATTTTTCTCAGGTGGTGATTGTGAGGACTAAATGAGATTTTATATATGCCCTTATTTCTGCACAGTGGTTTCCCGTAGTTACAGTCCTAATTTACTATTTCTAAGACGAGAATGCCTGCTGGCTAATGTTTATAAGCCAGAGTCAAACTGGCTCTTGCAGCTTAATGAGGAAAGCCCAGAGACCAGGCTTTCCTAAATCTAGACCAGTGATTCAGTGACTCCCATTACAGGCTGGTCTCTCTTTATAGACTGTAATTAACACACATCAAACCAGGAATGTGTAAAAACAGAGGTGATAGGTGGGCAGAAGAGATACCAAGTTCTTTAAGGTTTTTCTTTGAAAGTAAAAATGAATGAGAGAATTAGAATAGAAGGTGGAATCAGAAAAAGGGAATGATTATCACTGGGTCTGATTCCGTTTCATAGTTTTCCATTTTGGCTTTGGAAGATTGCACTGTGTAATGCTCAGGGCTTATTTTATTTTCTTTTGGGCTGGAGAGTCCTGGTCAGCTTTCTATCCTGGTGACCTTGCACTTGCTCTGCGGGTGAGCCCCTGCATTACGTCTGCGGGATGTCTTTTTTGTCTTCACCTGGCAACATGCAGTGACATTCTTTTTCATTATGTAAGTTTGGTACTTTTCACTCTTTTCTGGAATATCTTAACGTTCCTTTTCGTATATTAGAATAAAGCATTTGAATATAAATCTCTGAGGAGTGATCTTTTATCTTTCTTTTCTGTACATGAATCATGAGCAGCTGCGGGAGACTCTGTTCTTGGGCTTAGTCCCGTGTGTAGTCAGAACCATTTATAAAACAAATTGAGGGAACACCAAGGTACTTTTATAATATATGCTGCTTTCAGAGTTGTTTTGTATAGACTTGGTTTCGTAGAAACCATTGACGGTAGTCTTAGTGATTTATAGATGCAGCAAGATGTGTTTGCCTTTTCACTTTATTATGGGCATACTGAAAACTGCTTACAGAGGCTGGGAGTTTGGGAGAATTGTCATTATCCCATCTCTACCAATTTCTTTGTCTCTAGGAAAAAATAAAATGCGTGGGGGGGATGATTTTTCTTTTTTAAAAAATCACAATATGTTTCATCTAAAGGAAAACTATTCTTTATATAACTCTCTTTGTCCTTTGTCTACACGATACTATTTTTCTAGGCCAGCACAATGGTTTATATATTAGGAGACTGGGTTCTTTTATAAACCTGGCTATTGAGTATATGACTTTGGGATGTTATTTGAACTTCTTTGAATCAGAGTTGGCTTAATTGTAAAATGAGAAAGTACTACTAGGTGATTTCTGAGTGCCTTCTGGTTTTCAAATTCTCTATTTCTAAGATACTAGGAGAATAGAGGTTTGAACCAGATGGCATTTAAGCTTCCCTTAGCTCTAAGATTTGTGTAACCATTGCCTCCATGTGAATATAAATTATAATCACTGCTGTATGATTAGGAATGAACCAATGGGGGGA